TAGCATAATATATGCATAAATCTGATTTTTATTGCATAGCATATGTGATTGCGAATTTCACATATCAAGACTATTTTTATATAATTAATAGTATATAATCTGTGCATAAAACAGCTAGTATTAAAATTATAAGATATTAGAACATCTCAGAAAGTAGACAGTCAATAAGCACAAAACACGAGCATAGTTGTTGAAAATTTTCAGAGAAATAGTTATAGGTTACAAAAATATGGTAATTTTATAACTCTGGTAAATGTATATTTTTGCATATTTATACTTAAACTGCATAATATACAACATAATTTGAAAATTTTATTGCATAATTTCGCATAAATCGAAAAGTAATACATGCATAATTTGGGGTCTGTTGCTGCAGAAAATAGTAAGCCCTAAGTATATCTAGTTATGCTTGCATCTTTTGAGCACCTATTTAAATAGTCTGACTATTTCTAGATTTTACACTAGTGTCTAATTTGCTTTTTCTTCTAATTTTGTATGATCTGCTTTTATTATTCCAAGTTAATCGACTACAAGGAGAATCTTTTTGTGAAGAATATATTACTACACCTCAAATTGAAGTTGCTAATATACAATGGAACTATAATCAAACAAATGATGTTATTAAAGTGGAAATTTGGGATGTGGTTGATAAAGGTATCAACCCAACAAATACTAATAAGAGACCTACGACGTCAAATGCTGCATTGAAAATTGATAATTCACAAAGTAGAAAAACTTCTATTTCTGTCTTTGAACATGCAAAATTTTCTATCGTATTTTAACAGATTAGTTTTCTTGGTAGCTCCAACTAAACCATCGCCATCCCGTTCCTCGCTTCTGCCACCGGATCAACTTACACTTGATGCTGTAACTATAGATGTATATCGCAATACACATGGCGTGATATTGTTATTTGATATGACCAAAAATTGGACATTCGATTACGCTATTAAAGAATTAAAAGCTATTCCTAAAAACATTGCTGTATTATTGCTGGTGAATATATATCATCACTTATTTTTCACCACTTCATTATCTGATGAACTGTTGTTCTTGCCTAATAGGGCAACTTTAGCGATCTCAGGTAGTTATGTACAATTACTGGTTTCACGTGCGTATATTGTGGTGGTTCAAGAACGATAATAAGTCTTGTATTATTTATACGGAAAGCTCGCGACGTGTAATTACTCAATCACAAATCTATCAGGCGATATCGGAGGTCAATCGTGAACGAATATCAGAATATCCTTCATCCAATATGGTTCGGTATGTGGAGACTAGCATGTTAAATGGACTTGGTCTAGAATACATTTACAAGTATTTTGGGGTTCCTTTCTTACAATTACAGGTAATTTTTATGATTATTAGGGTGTATGAATACATTTAACTATCATTATGATCTAATATATCAAAAAATAATACTTTCTTAATCCAAGAGAGATATTCTTCGCCAACAATTGACTGCAAAGACAAAAGAATTAGCAAAACTTCTTGATACACTGGACATCGACGATAGTGCCTCTTCAGCTGAAAAGAAGCACAGTAATCCGACAGATATTACTGAAGTAGAAAGTAATTATTTTATTTATTATTGTTATTATTGTTTTGTATTTGAATTTATTAGATTTTCCAATCTATACATATACTCATATTAGACATAGAATCAGAATTAGGGAAAGACCGTTTGGAAGAAGAAAAAATACAAATAAAAAAATTATGGGATAAAGAATTTGAAGAATTACCTCAGCAAAAAGAATCAGGTGAATAATATTGAACATTCCGTGCGTACTTTTTAAATATTAATTGATTATTGTTTCTCATCCGAACAGTTGAACTTTTAAATTCAATACCACCGGCATTACAAGTGGAACAACCTTTATCAAACACTCTTCTACAAAAACGACCAAAAGCAGCTACGCCTGATATAACAATAATCGATGAATTCAATGCTGGAGATTTGGAAGATGACTTTTTCGACGATGCTCCCGATCCAGTTGTGGTATTGCCTCCGGTCACCCAATCTAAAAATGATGAAGTAGAAGATGTGGATTCGAAAAATCCGATGGTTGCCACCGACGAGGATCTTGTTGGAGTTGAGGGTTATGATGATGTAGAAGATGATAAACCCAACATCCGTCAAAGTTTCAATAGCGATCTTAATGATATTTGGAGACACCGTTACAATAATGTAACTTTAGCGAGTCGAATAAGTGATAGCAGCGATGACGAGTTACGACAAACGATATCTGAACAAGGAGATTTGCATTATACTTTTGAAGAGGCATCCTTTGATACTGGAGGAACGCCTAGTGGCTATGAAGAGATTGGTGAAGGTCAAAACAATCCATGGGCATAATGATGCATATATTTCTGGTTTAATCCAACTGATAAAAAAGTGATATACTTAATCATGTGATATAATCACAATTAAAATCATTTTAAACATGTACAATTTATTAGCACCAAAATATATATATATTAAAATTAAAACTTGCAAAAATCTTTTATACAAAAGTTTAATTGCAAAATATTCCTTAATCTGTAAATTATTTGACAAATTTAAATTTTTATTACTAATTGTTTAAATAAAAATTTTTCTGATCAGGTTATAATCTGGCCAGGACAAAGGGGCGGGCTCTATGTGATCACATGCACATAGAAAAGGCTTAATTATTAACGTTAATAATGCCCCAACTATATTAAAGTTCACCCGTATAAATATAACAATCAGTGACAATCTTCCCAGTGGATCATGAGATATGATCAATTTATATTTCATGATCATAAAAAATTTTTTTTTTGCAAATTTGCAAAGAAATTTTATATGATCATGGAATATAAATCGATTCTATTTCGCAACCCATCATCAATTTTAGGGATTTTACCATCATTATGACCGCAAAAGGCTGTCCTTACAACTTTTCTTGAAGCTTAGTAAATAAAATGGGAAAACTACTAGATTTCATCTGACATCTACATTAGATTGTAGAAATTACATCAAAAAAGAATTACAGCAGAAAGTATCGAGGTAAGTATTTTTCAACAATTTCTATTTTCCAATAAAATAATATTATAGTTGAAAATTTTTGATGGTAACATTATGAACAAATTATTTTCTTTGTTTAAATCGTTTTTGTCAATAGGTCTTGTAACTAAATTGAGATAATTCTGTCTTAATAATTAGCTTGTCATTAGAATGGATGTCTAGTCACCAAGATTAAACTTTTAATACACAATCTTTTTATTTTGTTCTTTATTTCGTTCCTTTATTTCGTTAATTGCTTTCTCTCTCGTTCAAAATTACACATTAAGTACCAAGCAAGGAGTAATAAATAGCAAAAATCAAAACATCGGTAATAGAATGGTAATTAGAAAGCTTTGGTAGAAGTAAAGGATATCACGAGGAGTATATTAAAAATAAATATATATGTGAATATTTAAGTCATCTCGATCAAAACAAAGATGCCTTTTTTATTTTCTCCGTCTAGTTACAAGTTGAAATCCTTCATCATCAATGATTGGTTCTTTCTTTGACGAATTTATTTTATTTCGATCAGTAGATGAAACATCTTCGGAAGTATCCATTGCATCAGTCATTTCTACATCTTCATTTTCACCATCATTGTCATCATCATCGTCGTCATTAATTTGAAGCTGTGATTTAACTTTTTTTGAAGAAGCGCTACTATTAACAGAGGCGATGTGCCGTGATCTCAAGAGATCGATGGAAGTGTAGTTTCCTTCTATACATTCAGCGTATAGCTTTATTAGATCTTTTGATACCTTATTGTAAGTTGCATTAATTAATAGTGATGAAATATTAACTTGACATTAGCTATGTTAGGAGTTTAGCTTACCTGATAGGCAGAATCATCTTCCAGCAAAGTATTAAATTCATCCGCCATTACTT